CAACCTCAAAAATGACACAGACACCATCCAACCAACAATCACATCCATACAACAATTTCTCCACATGACCAACCTCCCTCAATGTCAGAGCCTGGAATCAAACCTGGGCCTTCTGCGGTGGGAGATGGTGTTTCTTCTCGCTGAGCCACCTGGAATGCTGGACAGCTCCCTTGACAATTCTTTGGATGATCCTGCCTTTTCCCTGTTTTGTCTTGAACCTTGAACTCCTTGCTCCTCCCATGAACTTCCTATAAAAGCCATGTCTCTGCACTTCCTGGTTGCCAGATTATTGTGCCTTACCAGCCAATATCCCGCTTAGGTGAGCCTGCGTCATTCCCAGGGTGGGCCGCTGGTGTACCAATCCTGCTGGTTTCAGGTAAGCCTTACAACTGCTGTAGCAACTGGTCTCTGAACCTGACCCAGATCGTGACACTCAACTATCCTCAGACCAACTTGACACCATCTCTATCCCAATTTCCCCCAAGGAAATAGAAACGACCATTAAAACACTCCCACTCAACAAATCTCCAGGAAATGATGAATACACTAACGAATACTACAAACACCTTTCCGCAGAATTATCACCGTACCTGACCAAACTCTTCAACCATGCTGCCACAACAAGCTCATTTCCCAAAGACATTTTACAATCCATCATAACAACTATACCAAAACTTGGCAAAGACCCTCAACTTGTCCAAAACTACAGGCCAATCTCATTACTTAATACCGACATAAAACTATATGCGAAAATCATATCCCGAAGAATTCTTCCATACCTCCCCACCCTAATCCACCCAGACCAAGTAGGTTTTATCCCAGGTCGCCAAGCACCCGATGCTACTAGAAGAATTATTTCCCTCCTACACAATTTAGAAAACACCAAAAGCCCCTCCTTACCCTTATCTCTGGACGCAGAGAAAGCATTCGACCGGATACATTGGCAATTTATGCAACTTACTCTTCAAAAATTTGGTATCACAGGTTGGATGCTGAACGCCATCCTATCAATATATTCACATCCATCCACTAGAGTATTGAGTATCTGACCCCTTTGACATCTCTAATGGCACCAGACAAGGCTGTCCACTCTCCCCGATAATATTTACACTCCTTATTGAACCCCTAGCATCCAAACTCATCGAGGACCGGTCATTTACAGGAATCACACACCTCAACGTAGAACACAAAATTAGCCTATTTGCGGATGATATTATACTAACGGTGACCAGCCCAGAAATGTCCCTTAAAACGATTTGCTCACACCTCTATACCTACTCAACAGTCTCCTACTACAAGCTTAATGAACCCAAATCTTCCATACTAAACCTCCACATCTTACCCCAACTCCAAACTCTACTAGCGAAACAATTCCCATTTTCATGCGAAACGAGCAACATTCCTTACTTAGGTATCACACTCACACCAACAACAGACCACCTATACTCTGCAAACCATAAAATATTACTTGAAACCAGGGCTTTCTTTCTGCCGGAACGCGGCGGTACTGCGTTCCGCCACCTTTTTCTTCTTGTCCCCGCGCTCACCGACTGCCTCTGCAGAGCTGACAAGCTATGCAGAGCAGCGAAAGTGACAGGTGCCGGACGCGGCTTGTTTATGTCATGCTTGCGCGTGCCCGGCACCTGTCACTGCCGCTGCTCACAGCCGGTGAGCGGGGACATGCACGCTTCACCCCCCCCCCCTCTACCGCCAGCGTGTAAACATCGGGGGCGCGGACGATGGGCGAGGACACTATGCACGCTTCACCGCCCCCCCCCCGCCGGCGTGTAAACATCGGGGGCGGCGCGGCGACATCAACGGCAGTGACAGCGTGGACGCAGGGGCCGTACAGCTTGGAGTAGGTAAGCTGCGCTCGGCTCCCTGTCACTGACTGCAGTATCATGTATTGCTCTAAATTTTTACTCTCTCCCCAGCCTGTGCCCACCTAAACTATCCCAACCACCTGTGCCCACCTAAACTATCTGAGCCCACCTAAACTATCCTCACCCACCTGAGCCCACCTAAACTATTTCAGAACGCAATTGCTCAGCGCTCAGCGGCGCCGATCGAGAGCGCCCCTCCTGTGCATGAGGAACAGGAAAGATAAATTCAGTGATGGACGGTATTTTTTGGAGGAAAAGGTGGCAACCCTAGGGGAGCCTGTAGGAGCAGGCACATCTACCAGACAGGGTACACATGCATGCTAGACTGATTTTATATCTATGCTGGACGTTTACAAACGGCCTGCCATGATTTTATATCTATGCATGTGTTCCTGGTGTCAGTACGGTACTGATTTTATATCTATGCGTGTGTTTCTGGTGTCAGTACGGTACTGATTTTATATCTATGCATGTGTTTCTGGTGTCAGTACGGTACTGATTTTATATCTATGCGTGTGTTTCTGGTGTCAGTACGGTACTGATTTTATATCTATGCATGTGTTTCTGGTGTCAGTACATTAGTCATTTTATATCTATGCATGTGTTTCTGGTGTCAGTACGGTACTGATTTTATATCTATGCGTGTGTTTCTGGTGTCAGTACGGTATTCATTTTATATCTATGCATGTGTTTCTGGTGTCAGTACATTAGTCATTTTATATCTATGCATGTGTTTCTGGTGTCAGTACATTAGTCATTTTATATCTATGCATGTGTTTCATGCAGATCATGCAAGAGGCAGCCGGGGGTCCGATGACATCATTTCCCTTATATGGTATGTACGGGAAATGATGTCATCGGAAGCCCCTCCCAAATTTTACTTGCATTCCTGTTCTCTAAAGGGGTGGTCCTAGGGTTTGATGGGGGCGTGGCCAGGTTTGGGTGGGGGAGTTCCACCACCTTTCCTCTGAGAAAAAAAGCCCTGCTTGAAACTATTCCCCGAGAACTAACCACATACCGTACCTCAGAACTATCCAAACTAGGTCGAGTGGCAACTCTGAAAATGTCCATTCTACCCAAAATCTTATACATATTCCATACACTCCCCATACCAATCCCTAACTCATTCTTTTCTAGCCTACAATCAATCCTCACAAAATTCCTATGGAACTCGAAAAGGCCAAGATGCACCACCAATCTCTTAAAACGCCCTACAGCTAAAGGAGGAGCAGGACTCCCACACTTTAAGTCTTACTACACCGCTGCTTTTCTAGATCAAATATACTTTTGGTGGAACCATCAAAAGAAAAAATTTGGTCCACAATGGAAACCCTTCCTTTTCACCCCCTTAAACCCCAAAATATAATCCTAACTCCACCAATCAACCGATTAGAATGCCAACGAAAACATCCCTGCATACAAGCCTCCCTACAAGCCTGGCGTGACCTCCTATCCACTAAATTTAGGGACATCAAACATATCCCTACTCCAACCAATATATTACATCTTCTTATACCCTCGTTAGACCTATCTCATTGCACAAAACAAGGTATAACTAATATAACAGACCTCTACACCAACCAATCTATATGCCCCTTCCAAATTCTCCAAACAAAGTATAATCTCCTTAATTCTGAAAACTTCACATACCTAAGAATTGCTCACTGTCTACAAACAACAGTCCTACCCCATACCACTAAGATACCTATTACAGCCTACCTTTTCTTCACCAAATCTCAATACCCAGGTAAGGGTATCTCTACTTTCTATACATACCTCACAAACTTACAATTTACACTACAAACAACTTCTCTAACCAACTGGGAAAAAAATCCTATCAGAACTAATAACCTTACAATGTTGGGAAAACACCTTCAACACTACTTATAAAGCTACCCGATGCAGCTCCCACTGGGAGTCATATCTAAAAATACTCCACCAATGGTACCTGGCTCCGGTCAAACTTTCCTTCTACTACCCAAAACAGTCTCCTACATGCTGGAGACTATGCAGTGAGACAGGCTCAACACTACATATCCTCTGGTCATGTAAGTCACTTAGATCCTTCTGGAATACTACCTTCCAATTAATATCTGATATAACCAAACTTTTAACCCCGAACCCCTCATTAGCACTCCTACATATCGGAAACGAGAAATTCCCTCCTCACTCCAGAACAGTTATTAACCACACACTTTTAGCTGCCAAAATAAACATTACCAGATTATTGAACACAAATAATACCCCCTCAATTACCTCACTAATTACAGACCTCAACACCCAATGTGAAATGGAGAAAAAAATCTGCAATCAACACTTCCTCCCACCATAAATTTAATCAGCAATGGACCCGATGGTTAAATCACCCAAAATGCTCTGTACAACCCTGATGACATTTAAACAGTAAAAATTGCCTTCTAAACCTAGACTGGTATATCCTTACTCACCCAGTTATATCTTTCCTCCCCACCTCCCCCATCTCCCCCACCAATACCCCCCTAACATCCCAACCTCCTCACCAAGGTTCATCATACACATAAATACCTCTGATGATATTGCTAAATAAGACCAATGCCATCAAACCCAAATGAGTGGAATAACAATGCTCAACTGTATAATGTTTTTAGTGCAATACTGTATGAATGAACCACATCCCATTCCCTGGTTTGTCCCTGAAAAATTCAATAAAAAATATTGAAACATAATGATGGAAACACAAAAAAACTTGCCATGTTCTTTAACCATTGGTACATTAGAACAAGCAGAGGCATACCATGCATGATGAGTTATTCACATAGATCCTATTTACAATTTCAGACTAGGACAGTAAATTATTTCCAGACTGATGCAACATCACCAGCTCATAAAACAACTTTGCCAGTGGCGCAGTATCGATACTGTGTGAAATTACATGTGCGAGAGGCAACCCGTTGCTAAATATGAAAAGTCTGTGACAAATATTATCATATTTTTCGCTCCATAAGAAGCATCTGACCATAAGACGCGCCTAGGTTTTAGAGGAGAAAAACAAGAAAAAAAATATTCTGAACCAATGGACTGCGGACATAGTACAGGAGATGACCAGAGACTGCGGACACAGTACAGGAGATGACCAGAGACTGCAGACATAGTACAGGAAATGACCAGAGACTGCAGATATAGTACAGGAGATGACCAGAGACTGCAGACAGTACAAGAGATGACCAAAGACTGCGGACACAGTACAGGAGAAGGACCAGAGACTGCGGACATAGTACAGGAGATGACCAGAGACTGCAGAAACAGTACAGGAGATGACCAAAGACTGCGGACATAGTACAGGAGAAGGACCAGAGACTGCGGACATAGTACAGGAGATGACCAGAGACTGCGGACACAGTACAGGAGATGGACCAGAGACTGCGGACATACTACAGGTGATGACCAGAGACTGCAGACAGTACAGGGGATGACCAGAGATTGCGGACAGTACAGGAGATGGACCAGAGACTGCGGACACAGTACAGTAGATGACCAGAGACTGCGGACAGTACAGGGGATGACCAGAGACTGCGGACAGTACAGGAGATTACCAGAGACTGCGGACAGTATAGGGCAGTGGTTCTCAACCTTTCTAGCGCCGCGACCCCTTAATACAGTTCCTCATGTTGTGGTGACCCCCAACCATAAAATTATTTTCGTTGCTACTTCATAACTGTAATTTTGCAGTAGGAGGAATAGTGCCACGTCATTGGTGTCATTGGGAGGAATAGTGCCCCGTCATTAGTGTCAGTGGGAGGAATAGTGCCCCGTCATTGGTGTCAGTGGGAGGAATAGTGCCCCTTTCATTGGTGTCAGTGGGAGGAATAGTGCCCCTTTCATTGGTGTCAGTGGGAGGAATAGTGCCCCTTTCATTGGTGTCAGTGGGAGGAATAGTGCCCCTTTCATTGGTGTCAGTGGGAGGAATAGTGCCCTGTCATTGGTGTCAGTGGGAGGAATAGTGCCCCGTCATTGGTGTCAGTGGGAGGAATAGTGCCCCATCATTGGTATCAGTGGGAGGAATAGTGCCTCATCATTGGTATCAGTGGGAGGAATAGTGCCCCATCATTGGTGTCAGTGGGGGGGAATAGTGCCCCATCATTGGTATCAGTGGGAGGAATAGTGTCCCATCATTGGTATCAGTGGGAGGAATAGTGCCCGATCATTGGTGTCAGTGGGAGGAATAGTGCCCCATCATTGGTATCAGTGGGGGGGAATAGTGTCCCATCATTGGTGTCAGTGGGGGGAGGAATAGTGCCCCATCCTTGGTGTCAGTGGGGGGAGGAATAGTGCCCCATCCTTGGTGTCAGTGGGGGGAGGAATAGTGCCCCATCCTTGGTGTCAGTGGGGGGAGGAATAGTGCCCCATCCTTGGTGTCAGTGGGGGGAGGAATTGTGCCCCATCGTTGGTGTCAGTGGGGGGGAGAATCGTGCCCCATCCTTGGTGTCAGTGGGGGAGGAATAGTGCCCCATCGTTGGTGTCATTTGGGGAGGAATAGTGCCCCATCGTTGGTGTCATTTGCGGGAGGAATAGTGCCCCATCGTTGGTGTCATTTGCGGGAGGAATAGTGCCCCATCGTTGGTGTCAGTGGGAGGAATAGTGTCCCATCGTTGGTGTCAGTGGGAGAAATAGTGCCCCATCATTGGTATTAGTGACACCAATGATGGGGCACTATTCCCACTGACACCAATGATACTTACCTTGCAGACCCCTGCTCCAGCCTGGGCTCGCTCGCTCCCTCCCTCTCCCATGGTACCGACACTTACCTGTCAGATGTCTTCCTTCTCCGGCCGCTCTCCTCCTCTTCACTCGCGCGATCTTCGCGGTGCCGCTCGGCTCCTCCTCTCCAAGCTCCACCTCCTTGCCGGTGATTGGCCGCCTGTGTGCCTCTCCTGAGCTACAGTGCCGGCGGCCAATCACAGGCGAGGATTGATCTCTCGAGGTGTGTCCAGATGACAGGGGCGGCATGTCATCCCGCCCACACCTGGAGACGGCGCGTGGGTGGCGGCGGCGGCGGCGAGGAGCGGTGTCTCGGTTCCTAAGACCATCGGAAATATGTGTTTTCCGATGGTCTTAGGCGACCCCTGTGGAAGCGTCGTTCGACCCCCAAAGGGGTCGCGACCCCAGGTTGAGAACCGCTGGTATAGGGGATGACCAGAGACTGCGGACAGTATAGGGGATGGCCAGAGACTGTGGACAGTACAGGGAATGAACAGAGACTGTGGACAGTACAGGGGATGAACAGAGACTGCGGACAGTACAGGGGATGAACAGAGACTGAGGACAGTACAGGAGATGACCAGAGCCTTTTTTTTTTTTTTTGTTTTCCATTTTTAGGAGGTCATTCTATTCACTGTGGTGGTCACCAAAACACTTTTTGAAGAATGTTCCCCTCATGCATGCAGATATTGTATGGAAAATATGGAAATCCTTTGATCTAGTAGTTAGGAACTTCATTGCCTTATGTGGATTCCTGATTGCCGAATATTATTAGATCTGGAGACGCCGAATGTTTTTAATTCAGTGATTTTATAAAGACTTGTTTACCATGTCTCTGTCTAACCTCAGTATGATCCATGTGATCGAATAAAACTTGTTTGTTAATACTTATTATATTACTCCGCTTGGATTTTCTAACAACCACTCTGTGTGAGCAGTATTGCACTTGTCATACTGCTATGTTTTATGCTAAGTATTTGGGTTTATAAATCCACACTAATCATTAGTGAGACAGAGATATTTATATGACACATATTTACGGGTCATGTTAGGTGGCTACCCCTCCCCCTTTTTCCAATTTAGTATTAAACCCATCCCTAGATAAATACCCTGCAGAAAACTAATTATTCCACGTCGGCCAAATCCTTCACCCGTACGTTAAGTACCCCATGACCTGGTAGATCTATGGCGTGAATTCCACCCCCAGGGAAAAGATTATGCTTACTATTCTCACCCTAATCATTCTCATTCAAGAATTGACCATGCTTTTGTGTTGCATAAACATCTTACCTTAGTACGCTCCGTCTCTATCCTCACGGTTCCATGGTCCGATCATGACCCCATTTTGGTGGTTTGTCGATCTCTCCTCTGTAAGGCATCCTACTCCTCTTGGATTATGAATGACTCTACTTTCACTAAAGGAGATTCAGGCGGAACTAGTGCGTAAATCCCAAGAATATTTTCAGCTAAACTCGGGTTCTGTCTCTTCTTTGGTGACGTTGTGGGAAGTTTACAAGGCTGTTCCAGGGGGTCATATTATTCAGATAGATTCGAGGTGGAAGAGGGATAGACAACATATACAGAGTCAGCTGGAATCAAAGTTGGCTTGAGCGTCGGCTCAATTTAAGCAGGTACCAACCCCATCACACTGTAGGTTCTTAGATCAGGCTTGCCTGGAACTAGATCTCTGTTTGACTGATGAGGCTGAATGCTCTTTGTGATGGACACACCAGAAATGGTATAGTAAAGCAAATAAACCAGATTCCATGTTAGCACGTAGATTGCGCTCTTTCGCGCACCATCCTAAACCGATTTCTCTACGCACTCATCAGAATGTTCTCACCAGTAATCCTGTAGCGATATTGGAGGAGTTCCGGCATCGATTAGCCAGACTTTATGCGGATCCTACACGGGCTGATCCCCAATCTATCTCTGACTTTCTATCTCATTTGTGCTTACCTACTTTGGCCCAAGCCCATAAGGACCTGATGGACCGTGATATTCAAGTATCGGAAGTTCTGCAATGCATTGCAGACCTGAAGATGGGAAACTCCCAGGTCCAGATGGATACACGGCTCCATATTACAAAAAATTGGCTAATGTGCTTGCCCCTCACCTTGCCGCTATGTTCAATGTGGTGAAGGAAGGTGCAAACTTTTCCCCTGACTCTTTGACTGCTAACGTGGTTATGATCCTCAAACCGGATTGGGATCATTCCTCCTTGGCAAATTACAGACCAATTTCTCTTATTAACATTGATATGAAAATCCTCACTAAGATCTTAGCCACTCATTTGAATTCTTTCCTTTCTCGCTTAATTAAGAAGGAGGGTTTTGTCACCCACAGACAAGCCGGAGATGCCATCAGACGTATTATACAGTTAGAACATTTGGCCCATACTCGAAAAATTGATATGATGCTCCTATCTCTAGACATCAATAAGGCCTTTGACACCTTGTCCTGGCCTTATCTCATGTCGGTCCTCTATCATTTTGGCTTTGGTCCCTCGTTCTTGCGTTGGATTTCCTCGCTATATACATCCCCTCAAGCAAAACTCAAATATTATGGTTTTGAGTCTTCAATGTTTTCGATTGGCAGGGGAACTAAACAAGGTTGCTCACTTTCTCCCATACTATTTATCTTGGCTTTGGAACTGTTGGCGGAAGGCATTTGTATACATCCTGATATTAAGGGAATAGATATAGCTGGTTCCCAACACAAGTTATCTATGTTCACAGACGATATATTGTTATCGGTTATGAACCCGAGGGTTACTTTGCCAAACTTACTTGCGGTTTTGGATTCCTTTGCAGTTCTCTCAGGTCTCCATGTTAACCCTGCCAAGTCCAAAGCTATGTCGATTACACTGTTCAACAAATTTTTATTTTTTTTTGCCAGTTTTGGAAACAAAAGTATCCATTTCTTAATGAATTTCACATTCTGAGTTCAAATTTAACAATGAAATTTGTCAATTGGCTCTAGTTTTTCTGTAAACGGAAAGTTTTCTACTATAGGCGTAATGACTACATAATGCACAATAATTATATAGATAGATGTCTTTCCACAAATATAAAGCAAGTGATATTGACTACATAACAAAGCCTAAATGGCATAATATATTGCATAGGATTACCAAGAAAAATTATAGCCATAAGCTAAGTTGAATCATTTTAATACTTAGGATTCTCACTAGTTTTGTCTTCAGTTTGTGTCGGTTTTGCTTCTCTTGGTTTCTCTTGTATTCGAGGAAAGGGCTATCTCTTACAACTGCACGTGACTACACGCTTCAGGTTCTTCTTCCTCACTTGACTCAACCACGAAGGATTCTGGTGCTTTAGGAATTGGTAGCCCCTCTCCATGAGGAACTGGACGTATTGCCGATGGAATATTTGGATAGTGCACAGATATAACTTTTTCTTCTTATTTAGCCCTTTTACAATTGGAGGCACCATACAAAAGTAACAATTACTAACATGATCTGTTGGCTCTCTCCAAATCATTGGCACAGCGAAAGGCATAGATGCCTTTTTTCCATTCAACCATTGCTCCAGTGCCGTCCCACAAGAATTGCAGCATATATGTGGTGCCCAGCTCTTGTCCTGGTCTCCTATCTTGCAGCCAAAATACAAGTTGTAGGCTTTCTTAATCATTCCTGTTATCCTCCTTTTTTGTGAGCTAAAAGTTATTTCACCGCAGATATAGCAGAAATTATCTGCTTTATTCACACAAGTTTGAGGCATTACTGTGTAGCCTATATAAGCATAAAACGAAATGTAAAGACGCTGTCGAACTACAATCAGCTACAGATACTGCAGCTTTTA